GGCTGGGGATTCGAACCCGCCACCTTAGGTGTACGTGGCTGGCGCCTTAGCCGGTTGAGCTATAGGCGCCGAGCCAAGTGATTCTCTTACCTAAGCCTCCTGGGCAACTGGGACTACAGGCGCCTGCCACAACATCCGGCTATTTTTTTTCCTCCTTTTTGCAATTGTCGTTGTTGTTTAGCAGGCCCAGCCTTGGTATATGTGTCCAGAGCCCTAATACTGAGCTATGGGTGGCAAGCCAACTTTGACCATTTTGGAATGTGTTATACCTTCAGTTTTGCTTTTTTGTTCTTTTTGTTTTTATTTGGTCATTTACTTACGGGATTTGCTTGCTGAACAGGATCTTTAAGAAAAAATAAAACGCTAAAATTGAGAACACAAACAAAAACACCAAAATTGACTGGATATGATGGCTCATGCTTGTAATTCTAGCAGTTTGGGAGATTGAGGTGGGATGAAGGCCTTAGACCAGTTCAATGTCATCCTGGAAAACCTAGCAAAACCGTATCTGTACAACAAATTTTAAAATTATCTAGGTGTGGTGGCATTCTCCTGTAGTCCCAGACACTGGGGAGGCTGTGACAGGATTGTTTGAGGTAGGGAAGTTTCAGTGAGGTAACTGTTTTCTAGTCGCCTGGGTGACTAGAACCCCCAAAATACCCCCCCCAAAACAAGAATTTTGGGATCTGGAAACTTCTAGTTTGTTCTATAGAGGGACTGATCTTGAGAAAAGAAAATAAACTTTTGGGGGCTTATCTTTAGAGAGGATGGATTTATTATAAAAAATATTAACTGGGCGGTGCCTGTAGCTCAGTGAGTAGGGCGCCGACCTCATATACCGAGGGTGGTGGGCTCAAACCCAGCCCCGGCCAAATCGCAACAAAAAAATAGCCAGGTATTGTGGCAGGCACCTGTAGTCCCAGCTTGGGAGGCTGAGGCAAGAGAATCATCTAAGCCCAGGAGTTGGAGGTTGCTGTGAGCTGTGTAAAGCTGCCCCATCACTCTGCCGAGGGCAGTAAAGTGAGACTCTGTCTCTACAAAAAAAAAAAAAAATTAACTGACCAAGGTGGGTGGATTACCTGAGCTCACAGGTTTAAGACAGCTTGAGCCAGATTGAGACCCTGCCTCTAAAAATAGCTGGTCATTGTTGCAGGCACTTACAGTTCCAGCTACTTGGGAGGCTGAGGCAAGAGAATCACTTAAGTCCAAGAGTTTGAGATTGCTGAGCTGTGATGCACTCTACTGAAGGTGACATAATGAGACTCTGTCTCAAAAAACAAAAAAGAATTTTAACTGAAGAACAAAACTAAGAAGTAACTTTATTTTTACAACATGAGTATAATATAACCAGAAAAGTTTGGAAAGTCAGAAGTTTTGGTAGGGTGATTCTGGTGGATTGTCTCAGCTCACAGGTTTGAGACCAGCCTGAGCAAGACCAAGACTCCATCTCTAAAAAAATAGTGGGGTGTTGGCTTAGTGCCTGTAGAACAGTGGTTATGTTGCTGGCCACATACACCCAGGCTGGCAGGTTTGAACCAAGCTTGGACCAGCTAAACAACAATGACAACTGCTATTTAAAAAAAAAAAAAAAATTAGGCTCGGTGCCTGTAGCTTAAGCAGCTACGGTGCCAGTCACATACACCAGAGCTGGCAGGTTTGATTCCAGCCTGGGCCTGCCAAACAACAATGAAAACTACAACCAAAAAATGGCCAGGTGTTGTGGCAGGCACCTATAGTCCCAGCTACTTGGGAGGCTGAGGGAAGAGAATCACTTTTTTTTTTTT